GCGCTGCGGGGCGGGCACCGTGGCGGCGGTCATGGCCGCTGCTGGGGGAAGCAAATGGTTTTACCCTCGGGCCCCGCGCCGCCGCCAGCCGCTCCACCCCAGCCACGCCCCAGCCACGGCGTTTACGTTCGCGGCCTTCTGCTACATGCCGGCGCTCCTGCTCAACGCCGCGCTCATCTTCTTCGCCATCTGGCACATTACAGCGTTTGATGAGTTGAAGACTGATTACAAGAATCCTATAGACTAGTGTAATACCCTGAATCCTCTGGTCCTCCCGGAGTATCTCATCCATGCGTTCTTCTGTGTCATGTCAGAGTGGCTCACGCTGGGTCTCAACATGCCCCTCTTGGCGTACCATATTTGGAGGTACATGAGTAGACCGGTGATAAGCCAACCAGGACTCTACGACCCCACTACCATCATGAACACAGACATCCTAGCATACTGTCAGAAAGAAGGATGGTGCAAGCTAGCTTTTTACCTCCTAGCATTTTTTTACTACCTATATGGCATGATCTATGTTTTGGTGAGCTCTTAGAACAACACACGGAAGAGTTGGTCCGGTTAAGTGCATGCAGAAGCCACCAAGTGAAGGGATTCTATTCGGCAAGATCCTGTTTCCAAGAGTAGTCTATGGAATCTGATCAATTTCTTTAAAAAAATGACTCTTTATTTTTTAAATGTTTCCACATTTTTTGCTTGTGGAAAGACTTTTCATATGTTATACTAGGATAAAGAATTTAAGTGGATTGCGTATAATATAAAATGATTACCTCTAGTGTTAACAGGTGGAACTTGCACTCCTTCAGGAACAGCCATGTCCTTTGAACGAGTGCACTAATTCCTGGCCGTCCTTAGTCCACGGGAAGCTTTTGCTGGTAGGAACCTGTACGGCTTATTTTGGTTTATTTTTCTGGGGTGCCAGCAATCAAACTCAGGCCTTCACACTTGCCAGGCAGGCACTGCGCCCCTGAGCTACATCTCTGGCTCCATTTTGGTTTATTGAAATGCCATCTTATTATAAATTAGCTGTCGATAATCAGGTGCTTCTGATGAAGTGAAAATGTGTATCTGACACGTAGGAAACTTGACAGTTTCCTCATTTATCATGTAGATGAGTATATCTGGATACATTTACAAAAATAAGTGGCATTTTCCCCCTTTGACTTGAATATTCTTCCTGTATAGTGCATGAATGAGAGATTTCCCTTGTTTCCATCCGAGTAATATACCTGCTTTAATTAAGCATAAGTGGACATGATATAAAAATATATACTGACTTACTTGTGAAGAATGCATTTAAAGCTATTTTAAATGTGTTTTTATTTATAAGATGTTACTTATTAAGAATCTGGTTATATTATGCTTATTGTTCCAATCTGGTGGGAAACAGTATTTTTTTTAAATTTTATTTATTTATGTGTGTGTGTGTGTGTGTGTGTGTGTGTGTGTGTGCGTGGCCAGCTCAGCCCACCAGGGGGCGGGGCTGGCTGGCATGTGGTGCTGGGGATTGAACCATGGTCCCTCTGATTTGCTAAGCTTGTTCTAAGTAGGTGCTTTAGACCACTGAGCCATCTCACCAGCCCCAGAAACAGTATTCTTAAGACTTTGCAAATACCTTAGATTTTCAAAACTGAATGAGAGAGAAAATTACTGTTCCTTTAGTGCAATAAAATAAAACTCTGAAATTAAGACGCATTTTGCCTTGGCTTAAAGATCACATGTAGCTGTTTCTCACATGTGTCTAATCCCCAATAAAGACATGGTACTGTGTGCTTTAAAAAAATAAATAAATAAATAAAAAATAAAAAATAAAGTTACAAAAGAGGAAAAAAAAAAAAAAGAGGTCAAGTCTTCCACCACAAGTGTCCTTGACAGGCCCACTCTCCCTCTTAATCACCAGGGAGGTAAATGGCCACATAGTCTCATGTCCCAGAGGGCTACGGAATTAAGATAATCTCAGGGTGGCAATTAAACATGAGGGAAATTACAATAATTAATGAGCATCCGCTAATCGCGGGAGCCTGTGTCAGGAAACCTGCATCTGCTGGATGTTGCTGAGTTGCACGAAGGTGCATGGTGAGGCCTCACCCCACTGCAGAAACAATACAGCAGAGTGGAGGGACAGATGGTGGCTCAGAGAAGAGATGGATGCAAACCAGAGCTTAGGCGTGAGAAATTGTGTATGCCACACTTTACTTAAAAGTCATTTGCTGGGAAATGGCTGCCCAGTGCTGCCAGCCACAGTGCAGTCAGGTTTGACGTGGCATGGCGTGGTGTGAGACAGGAGGCTCGATGTGCGAGTTTGACAACTATAGGGCTTTAATCCTGAATCTGTGGGCCGGGGAGATGGCTCAGTAGAATAAGCGCTTCCCTGGCAAGCGCAAGGGCCTGAGTTCAATCCCCGGTTCTGCAAAAAAAAAAAAAAAATCCTGAATCTGGGATAACCTGGCTGTGTGCCCTAAGTTTTTTCACTTGCCCATCTTCTCTGGACATCAGCTTTCTCTTTCAGGGAAGGGGAAGAATGACAACCTCCCTGTGATAGATGGTGTAACTGTCCCCAGTTCTTTACCTTTCTCTCCTTTATTCATGCCCAATGGCATGTGATTTTGCAGTAACCTCTCTTGTGAGTGGGGCATACTTTCCTGCCTCGATCTTAGGTTTGGTTCTGTGACTTGCTTTGGCCAACAGAATGAGGTGAAAGTGCTGGCTTCCAGGTCTAAGCCTGTGTCTCCAGTGATGTTTTTCCACACATTTTGCTGTACCTTTACCTTCATGCTGGGCCAGCCTACTGGTCCCATGAGGAGGACGCAGGCCACAGGGATCAGGGGGAGCCTGGGATCCCGGAAGGCTCTACACCAAGAGCTCACCAGCTGCTGCATCCCTTGGCTTAAGACTGTAGGCTCCCCGCGCCCAGACCTTGCTCCCTACGTCCTCGCTGGGGCCAGCCATGTGCCTGGCAGGACCCTTGTTGGCCCAGGAGTGCTGTTCCCCTGGTGGCCTCTAGGCCTGGCTCTGGGTGCCAGGGTCTTGCCTACACCTAGCTAAGGTCACAGTGCAGGGTAGCTTGGGGCAAGTCTCGTGGCAGCTAGCTCCTTGGAGGCCTCATTTTTCACACTGGTAAAAGGACAGTGCTGCTTCCTGGCCCAGGTCTGGTGGCACGATTCATAACTGACAAGGGAAGATCCTTGGTGTCACAGACCATTATTCTACGTTGGCTTTAGGGAACATCACTGAGACAAATAGAATCCCCTTGCCTTTGCCCCAGCCTCCCCTGGCCCTCTTCCTGTTTTTTTTGTTTTGGTATTTTAGTAAGTGTCTACAGGGTCTCACTATGTAGATTGGACTCATAGTGATCTGCCTGTGTTCAGCCTCCCAAGAGCTGGGATTACAGGCTCGTGCCACCATGCTCAGTCTCAGTCACCATCTCAGTGCACCCCAGGGGTGGGGCCAGCATCACACTAGTTCTCTTTTGATTAAGATCTTAAATTTCAGCTGCTTTAGAAAGCTGTTGCAATTAACTTATTAATTTTCCCAAATTAGCCTTGTGAAAAGATCCCTTTGTAACCTTTGGACAGGCATTTCATAAGAAAAAAGTTTGCGGGGGCCGAGGAGATGGCTCAGTGGAATAATCGCTTCCCCGGCAAGCGCGGGGGCCTGAGTTCAATCCCCGGTTCCGC